AATCGTTATCATATGCCGAATCAAAAGCTCTACATTATGTCTTAGGTAAAAACGATTCTTTTATTCAATATGCCATCATTTGTTTTCTTTAAGAGTTCCAATAGCAAAAAAACATCAAAGCAACAATTCACAAAAAAAAAAATATTCATTAAAGGCGTTTGAACGTCAAAAAACAAACTTTTTTTTTCAATTCCATTATATGGATAAATAGCCAACTGAAGGACAGATGAGGCACTAAAACTTGAACAAAAAATATTTTAGAAAAACACATAATCATTTTATCGTTTCCAATTCACGGAATATTATTGGGTTGAGTATGCCCATGAACAAACTATAAGCTGGAAAATTGGATTTTTCCTCACGCGCAGAAACTCTCAAAGCTTCAAAAAAAAGTCATGCCTTTTGTCAAGCTCAAAGATTTCATTTGAAGTAGAAAAAATAAGACCTTGTTAAATTTAATGGTAAAGTTGCTTCAACTGGAAACCATTTCAGAATTTGGCTTTATGTGTTTTTCTAATATTTATTATTTGAAAGTTAATTCAAAGTAAATAAAATGCTTTGCATGGGGTATAAACTTTCTAATTGATAAACTTTAATGGATGATCGTGAGCTCGCCTACTTCATGGAAAACGAGTAATTAGCTAATTACCATCATATAGAAGTCGGGATTTGAACAAGAAGACTAGGTATTCACCTACGTAGGTATACCTATATTCTTTGAACAGTTGCCGCAAATTACCAGAAAGGACGAGTCTTTGTTACAACCGTTGCTATTTGCAACGTGAGATGGGTAGTGGAGTGTAACTTTTTTTATAGGGTAACGCGAAAACACACAACCTTCATAAATATGGTTCTTGAAGAAGGGCACCCCTGTCTTAACTCGCTGGTGGAAGGGGCAGCCAGGCACATACCACGAATGAATTTCACAGATTAACGTCAAAATCCACGGTACTTTTGGGTATTTTTTTTTACATTAGAGATAAACCGAAACAAGAATCCGCTTGACTCTAGAAAGGGAATGGTCAGAGCCAACATCATGCGTTTTTCTTCCTCAGAAACCTACTGGACAGATCTAGAAGAAAACTTAGACCGGAACACCAGAAGCCTTAGATAGATAGATACGCAGGAAAAAGTCTGCAACTTGGGTAATCTGAAAAATTATCTGCAGATAGGACATACAGTGCCAAAACGAAATGGGAATAATTTCCTGTGAGTGACTAACTTGATTGTTAACTTATGACGTCAAGAGGAATAGAGCCACGCCAGAGCCATTTGCGAATCAGACATACCTAATAATATATGTAAAAATTATTTTGTCAACATCCTACACACCCTGCACGAATTTTGTAAGGTTCGTAAGTAATAGAGATTGATTGAAGCTTAGGAAAATATTGACCCCTTAAGGAACTAGCTTTGCATTTGGCACACACGGAACGTTCTGATGATCCAAAAGTGAAATTAGATTAGAATAGATTATGTGAGGGAGCGTTAAGGTAATGTACCTCTCCATACTGCGACCTAAATATAAACTTTGCTATAGTGCTACCTCCTGTCTAGTTGGTTTCCAGGTGGTAGCCAAGAGGGCAGTGACCGGTGAGAAGGCCTGTTATAAGCTTCAAATTCGGTTTGCTGGGTTCAATTGGATCTTTTGCCTTTGTTGCGCTTGGCGATGTACATTGTTTCGTAAGTTCTGGAATCTTGTTCCAATGGGAGGTGGGAGGCTTGTTGTACCACTTCCCATTTTTTCAGTTCGGCCCTTACATGGCTTGGTGTCAGGCCTTTGGTTCTGGACCGAGGAATGGTGACGCTCTTGCGAGCCGGTGATAAAGTGACTATTTTGAGGTTCGCTATTTGCTTAACAGTCCCATACTAGAGTGGACTAAACGATAAAGCTGTTGAGAGCTTTAACCGCTGCCTGACTGTGGGAATTGATTCAGATTTTTGTATCTCGACCTCGACCTCGACGTCTATTTTAAGACACTTTCTGGCAAAGAGTTCTATTGCATACGTTTCCGCTTGAAATATGGTAGGGTTTTTTTCCCAAGGCTACCGATAGCCTTCAGTTTGGGCCATATATGGCGACTCCGACCCCTTCTTCTGTTTTCGATCCATCTGTGAACCAAATGAATAAACCGTTTTGCAGTTACACTAAAAAGGTGATCAAATTCGTATCTGGATGGCATGGACTTCAGAGGTTTGTAGAATATAAAAATAGATGACCGAAGACTGACCTGACGACGGGAATCACAGAAAACATGAAGCTCATCAGTTCTCAAGATAGAATCTGCAACAACACGTCTTGAAACTTTGGAATCTTGGTTTCAAGATGTTTGTACTTTGCTAGGAGGAAGGTCGGCATGAAAATCTGGATGGTTGCTGGCTCACTTGCTAAGTTGAAACCTACCCTTTCTCAACACTTTTATGAGTTTTGCCTGCAGGAAGAGTATAGATTCGAGGACATCGCTGCCTGTTAGGTAATCATTTACATCATTTCCGCTTCAAAGGGCCTTGACTTTTTCAGGAAAGCTAGATCTTTGGCTGGTTTCAAGTTAGATCTTGAAGCTACTTAGAAAAATCGTCTAGGGAAATTTAAGGGAAGTTGTGATATGTAAAATAGACTAAAAAGTTGTGAAACGTCTAATTTATTATTAGAGAATCGTACCGTTCTCAACCTGGAACTCATGTGGGAAAAGAGCACGGCAGAGAAACCCTCGATCTCAATTCCTCAAAAATCAAAACATACTGTGTTATTTCAATAATAATTGTAATTGTAAGTCAATAATTCAATTTGTTTAAATTAGGTACCGCCCCTGTTCTTGTGCTAAAATTTCAATTCCAAACATTATATCCAATCAACACCACCTATTTTTAATACTGAAGAGATTTTGGTTAATTAGCCAGTCTGCCAGCAGGTACTGAGGTCCCGTTCGGGAGGCTACTCAGCTATAGTTGTTATTTTGAGCCAATATCTCTAAACTGATTTAATTTGTTTGCTAGGATATCCGCCCAGTCAGGGTAGGAAAGTTATAGTAGATTAAACAAAGGCCTTAATGCACGCTCTGAATACAAAAATTAAAATCCCAGCACTAAAGGCAGCACATAATTTCTTCTAGGTTTTAATTTACTTTTTTATCTGCGTTGTTCACAGCGTGAAACGATTTTTGTTAAATACATAAACAATGCACATGTTATAAAAAATGTTATAAACAAAAAAAAAAATTATTCAACTGACCTGTGAATGCTCCTTATGACACACAAACTAATAACAAATTGGATTGAACATTCAGTTTAATACAAAATAAACATTGAATAATGAACAATGTCGGACAAGCTTGTTCCCTCTTGGTCTCTCATTTTCTCTCTACCTTTTCGGTATGCTTTTTCGTGGCGCGCCCTCATTCCCATAAACTTCGCAGCGCATACATGGTTGCAACATTTATCATTTGCTTTTCTATAGTAAAAGTTTTAAATAATTAGGATTTGAAGAAGTAATATTTCAAATAGGTGGTTTTTCTCACGTAGAAAATAGAAGTGACTAGATAATATTCAAGGGGGTCACTTGGAGGGAAGATATTGAGAGAACACGAAAACCAATTCGTTCTCCATAAGTCGGCAAATCTCTATGATTATGTTTTGCACGTACCCCGTGGACAAATTTAGTTCTGGTGTCCAATTTCATAAGCAAGATGTTGAACAGTACGAAATCCCAATGATGATCCACAGCAAGTTTCAAGGCTCGTAAAGCTGAAACATTTTCTCAAAAGGTATTTAAAAGGCACCCTAGAATCACGGCAGAAAACGTGTGTTTTGGTATCACTGTTGGAGCTTCCTTTGATCGACCTTGTAATGATTGTGGGTCAAAGGAGTTTCCCTATTAATGACAAGTGTTCACCATTTAGTGAAGTGGAGAGATATTTAAACCTTTCCACGGGTGACACCAATGTGTTGTCAGGAACCAAGCTATTGAATAAGTCAAGACTTGCCCAATCTTTAAAGTCACCGTTGAGAAGGTGCGTAGAAAATTTTGCAATTTTGCCGACTCTAAATATTTAAGGTAGGTTGCATGAGTCACTATTCAGATTATCAAGGTAAATGGCTTCACCTCCGTAGAAATTTTCTGCATGAATTCGCAAATCGTCGTATTTCTTAGTCTCCTTCTTCGTTACGACAAATTATAGAGAATTATGGGGCTGATTGAAGCGCAGATTATACGATCAATTAGGTATGTTCAAGAACGAACATAGAGCCTTGAGAAATTGCTTACCTTACATGAACCTACTTGTACAAAGCCTACATGATACTTTTGAAATCAAGTTTGTGCCAGATCGAAAATTGCCTTATTTTTTGAATGGAGGTTCGTTTATATCAAGGAGTCCAGAGTTTTGGCGTAGTCGAAATGGGTATTCTAATCTAGAAAGATACATAGCTGTTTTCCCGATTGAAAATGATTTGATTGATTGAAGATAATATATGATGATCTTTGATGATGGCTATTAAATTTCCACGCTTGCCAAGCGGGTTGGTAAGTGATGGATGTATTAGATCTGGTTATTAGAATTTTTTTGGAAAGGTTTTTCTACCTTGGATGAAAAGTCATTCCCCTCTACTAAAACTGTGTTTTTTTTTCTCAAATCAAGTTTTGACGATATTGAGGAATATTAAAATTTTTATTTCAAATTTTCATATGTTTCTGCGCTATTACCCCAATCTAGACTAATAATGGAAGTTCTAGATAGTGAATTTTCCATATACGCTAACAACCCTAAACTAAACAGTAACGAAGTCAGTTAATTATACCGCAATATTGGCTTAGTCCACTCAATGAAATGCGACCGTTGGACTAAGTTTTTTTGTAATCTTGCTTCTATAAAATAATTATTTTACGCACATGGACCTCTTTCAAAAAGTTATTTTTATCATTTACCGCCCGGAATTAAATATTTATTAATAGAATGTAAGTGAAGGATTCAAACTCCTACTCAGCCATACTTTTCAGTTTGATTTGATCGAATGGTGTGCAATTATATTATTTGTTTTTGCTTTTCATGTTTAGCTGTTTTATTTAATAATTTGTGAGGAAATTGATGATTGACTAGTGGAGTGAAAATTATGTTGTTTATATTGTGCGCAATAGTTTTGTTAGGATGCGGCCAAACTTTTGCCGCCAATCAACGAATAAACTTGAATCTTGGTAAGTATTAATGAGCAAACACAATACATTCAACATTATAGGATTAGTCCAATTTTATTTTGACTGTTGAGATGTTAAGAGATTGATTAAATTTGAATTGTTGGCATAAAACTACTATGTTGTACACAGAAAGTTCATTACCCGCGTGTTTGGCGAGTGTTTGTTTTATAGGTATCTAACTTTGTAAAAGTGCCAAATATTCTATTTAGAGCTCTATGAGCATGCGAAAATTGTGTTTTGCATTAACTAGTGTTTTTGTTTCTAGTCGCAGGTTCTGACATTGAAATATTACTCAATAAATTATTTCATGTTAATACTATTTCTCATATTGGCATCCGTATACTTGATGACTAATTATTAGGGATGATGATTTTTCTTCTAGGCGAAAGCCGTTATCCGATAGCTTTTCAGCTTCAAGGGCCTGGCGACTGGATCATCTGGTTCTGGGAAACAACTATTAAAAAAAAAGTCACTCTATTTCCATTTTTCTTGAATCGGTATTTGTGGAGATTTCTTCTAGAATTAGGTACCTACCTCTTTTTTTGTTTGGGTTTACTTTCCTCACTTTTGTTGGGATGTACATCAGATTAGATATAGGTACTTTTTCTGTATATTGATCGACTTGGATCTCGGGCGGTACTTCTGATTTTTGTTTTGTTCTTCGGTATCTTTGCGTTGGTTTTGATACGCAGTTTCGAAAGTTTGGTCATGGAATAGTTAAATATATCGTAGTACATTTGAGTAGAAAATATGGAGATAAGCCTGACTAGATGCTTTGGATGTAGATCAAAACAACTAATGTCATTAATTTTTCAGGATTTTGTCACGATTTGGCTTTTCTGAGATAATTGTTCTAGATGAGTCGAGTATGGTTTTTCAACTGAGCTTTTTATTGACGAGACTCCGGAAAAGTTAGCTCCACTCTTTGAGGAGATTTTTCCGAAATTCCCTTCCTTGGTTACAAATGATTTTTGGTAACGTGATAAGTAATAGAGAGAAATAGTGTCTTAACTCAGTCAGTGCAGTGATCGCTTTATTCTCGGATAGGTATATAGTATCACATACATTCATATGCATATTTTGAGAATAGATCGATTATTATACTTTCCCCATGATGATTATTGTATCACATAGGTTAATACGTTGTCAATTTTGTCTTGGAAGCATAGCAAGGTTTTTAGGTGAAGTTACTGTTGCAGTCATAGCTGCTGTTTTTTTGAAATGACTCTTTGAACAAAGGTCCAGTCTCTTGACGAATTCCAAAAGGCTTTCATTCTTATTACCTTACCATACATTGCAAATTGTTGCATTGAAATGAGATAGGTATGTGATAAGATTTCCAAATGTTTGTTTCATTGCTGTCCTGATGATATATGCCTCTAGTCAAATATTCTAGTCGAGAAAGTACGATGACATTTTCTGCATCATCAACTAACTTTGAATAGATAGAGAATTAATATAAAAGTTTTTCGTGTACCTATGCGTAAATATATGTACTTCTAATGATGTTTTAAAGTTACTGCTGATGTTGTAGTAATGTTTTTGATACTTGACAATGAAAATAAATTCAACAATTTTACACATTTTTCATCACCCAACGCTTTTGTAAACACATCAGCTATTTGATCATTAGTACATGTATTCGATGGGCGATACTCCAGCATTAATTATGTCTAATACCAAATGTAGCTTCACATCAATGTGCTTACACCGCTTATTATTTTCGGAATTATCGAGTAGCTTCATGGCACTTTGATTTTCCTCATGGATTATAATTGGCAATAGTAAATTAACTTCCATACTTAATAGTAAGTTTTTGATATACACTAGTTCACATGTATAGTTACAAACGATTGCTTCTTTGAACATCAAGATATAAGATTATTACTAAGCTTAAACCAATAACTAGTAATGAATTTTCGATCTGACACATCATTAGCCCAGTCGGCTTCACTGTACCCAACCAAATTAAAATAATTATTAGGGACAAAATGTAATCTGTAGTTATTAGTACTCTCCAAATATTTCAATACTCTTAAAAAATGTTTAAAATGTTCATCGGAAGCACAGTCCTGGAAAAGACCAAAATAGCTAATGCTAAAATATATATAAGTCCTTGACCCAAGCATAATATACAAGACTTCCTAGAAGTTCTTTAGGTGGCAAATTTGTCTTAGCATTAACGTCAGAAATTCTCTTTAAATTTAACTTATTTTCCATAGGTGTTTTTATATTTCTACGATTCTCAACTTCATATTTTTTGACTAGATTATTGGATTGCTAAATTTTGATCTATTGTAATGACTTTATTTTCATCATCTTCAATAATTTTAATGCCGAAGAAATCAAGATTTTCAGATATGCATTTTTTAATTCTAAATGTTTCAGAGAATTTTTGTTTCAAATAAAACAAAAAACTTGTATCATTACAAGCGATCAATATATCGTCAACGCACAAATCTAGATAACATCTCACATTTTGCTTCAGAAAAGTGTAAAGACAATAGTCAGACTTCGGTCGTCTGAATTGCATATTTACAATAGTTATTGAATTTCTCATTCCAGACTTTAGGAGCCTGTTTAAGCCCATATATTTCAGCAAGCATACCCTATCAGTAATAGCTTCAAGATTATTCAACCCTTCTGCGGGACCTCCTTAAAAAAATTTGCTCTTAAACTTCACTCTACTTTTGCATTATTGACATCAAGTCGTTCAAGAATCGAATCAAAACTGTGACAATTCTCAAAGTTGATAATTTTGCAACTGGTGCATGTAGTTTACCAAACCCTCCAAAATTGTGTTGATCAAAACCCCTAGCCACCAAACGAGGTTTATATGACCTATTACCCACTTCGTCTACCTTGACATTGAATACCCACCTATAACTAATTATTTCTGCCGTTTTAGGCCTGTTGACTAAGACCCAAGTGTCATTCACTTCTAATGTTTATAAGATTTGGGATCCTGAGTCAACAGAGGTAAATAGCTTAAGTACATAAATCTCATAGTCATCAAACCTTGCTGGTAAACTTATTTGCCTTTTAGTTATTTCTCGCAATCTTTCATTGTCGACCTTACTGTCTGCAATCTCACTCTCATCTGACCTAACTTCTTCTAAATCACTTTCTAGCTAATCTGGTTCTATATTTTCATTATCAATTTCACTATCAAGATCATTCACTACTACTATATTACACCTATTCACTGTTCTCAGTATGGGTAATCTAAAAACTCACACATTTTTCCTTTATCATCTAACTTACTTCGTAAACAGGTCAGGTATCCTAGCATGAGCAATGCTCCCAAACACTCTCATGTTTGACACACATGGTTTTTTATTATAAAATAGTTCAAATGGTGTTCTATCGTGAACCAAGCAAGATTGTGTTCTGTTTGTTATATTATATGCTGCTGTTAGTACAGCATCTTCCCAGAAAATTCTACTCAAATTAGCTTGCATAATCATCGATCTTGCTTGCTTGGTTCATCCGAGTTTGATTCATTCTCTCTGCTAGGCTGTTCAGTTGAGGGGTATAAGATGGTGTGTATTTGTATACCTACGTTTCTTACAGCAAAAATCTAAAAAAGCTCTTGAGCAGTACTATAACTCACCGCCATTATCACACTTTGTTTTCGAAATTTTTTTTTCACAGAACAGAGATATCACCCTAGCTTCGTACTTTTTTATACACTTCAATCACAAAAACCATGACAAATCTGGAGTAAACATCTACAAACGTAACAAAATATAAATTTTCACTAGGTACGAGAACAAGGAGTAATCGAACCATAAACATGTGTGTATCAATTCTAAAACCCTACTAGCCCTTGATATTTTGGAACGATAGGATAAACATTTTTGTTTAGTTTTTACACAAACATGACAAATTTTTGTGTCTAACTTTGAGTTTGCAAACTCCAGACCATTAACCAAATTCAGATTTTTCATTCTTAACAATAAAACAGAATTCAGGTATCCATATCTAAGATGGCAGATTTCTTTGTCTTTATTATTCACGGCCAAATTTCCATACTCAAAGTGACTATGCTCGAAAACTATTTTATATAAATTGTTGATACGGATACCTTCAGCAAATATGTTCTTATCTTTTTGAATTATAATTTTACTATCCCTACAAATAGTTTGAAAACCAGCCTTTTCTATGGTAGAAATAGATAACAAATTTACTCGTAAATCAGGAACAGATAGGATAATTTTCATAACAATAGGTACCTTTCTCTGTCCTATAATGCTAATGGCGTCTAAGTCACCTACACATACAGCTTTCATAAACTTACCCTAAGTAGCCAGTTGAATTAACTTAGGTTCAGTAAATTTTCTTTCATTTACCAACACATCTTCACTGTTAATGTAGTGATGTGTCGCTTCCGAGTCTGCACACCATTCAGTCACACTAATGTTACTTAAATTCTCTGAAGTGGTGCAAAAAGCTACTGCCTCCTCATTAGCATCAGACTGATCCAATGTTGCCTGTTCCTTCCTATTTGAGTACTGTGAGCTTCTGCATAGCTAGCTCTATTTTCCTTTTTATTTCTGCACTGAAAGGCTTTATGTCTAAATTTACCACAGCCGTGACATTTTACACCACAAAGACTCTGAACATGCCCTATTTTATCGCATTTATTAGTTATTTATGTATCAAGGGAATTATGAGGGTGTTAATACCCCAGGGCAACGTTTGTGTCCCGAGGGCCTCTGGCCCGAGAGACACCAATTGCCCGTGGGTATTAACACCTTATAATTCCCGTGGTACATAGATAATTTTATATCCTACTGAATTTACTGTATTCTGTCTATTTTTATGAAGGAATAAACCATAAATCAAAATTTCCATTTTTTGTCAAAGTTTTACCTATTCAAGGTAAAAGCGGGAGTTATGGAAATCCTTAACTCCCTTGGGAGTTGAGACCCTGTTTATGATTATCGTAACCAAGTTATTATATGTTTATAATAGTTCAGTAGGATATAAAAAACTTA